AGAAAATTAGAGTATGTTCTACTTCAGTATCCTTCTTTGTATGTAGGCCCAGTTTAGCAGATCAGTTTTGCTTCTCAAAAAGTGCAGTTTCAAAATCAATTTTCTTAGGTCAAGAGCAAAATTTTTTTAAGCAACACATCATGTGTTAATTTACTATTTGATCTAAATACCAAAACAAAGTAATGCCTTTGACACATGGAAAATAGCAGGCTTCCTCGAACGTTGCTTTTGTACAGTCCTAAAATACCCAAACCCCAACATTTTCAGCAACCTTTACACTAAAGAGGATGTCTCTGTGATGCTGTATAGGAAAACCTCACAAGCTTACGATCTTAACATTGCCCTTACGATCTCCAGCTTACCTATTTACCTGTGTTGTAATTAAAATCTTATTGAAATTGCTATGGTTCTTCACTTGAGTCATATCCATCAAACTTCATTACTCTCATGCAAGTCATCTAATACACAAAACACCGGAAAATTACTGAGATCTAAAAGTCTTTTCTGCACATACTAATTACTGTTATACAGCATTTTTTAGTTAAATGTATGATTTATGTCTATGAAACTTAAGATTAAGGACAGCCCTTTTGGAGGAGATTTAACAAGACAGATATTCAAAGTGACAGAAACATGGCTGCAGTTTAAAATAACTTCATATGCATTATCTCATACTAAATGTATCATAAGACAGGTGCCCTTGCTGTGATTTTTACTTGAGATGCTTCTTTCAAATTGGAAAGTGATTTATCCCTTTCCCACCCATTTAATTATGTGAATATGATACAACAGAAACCAGGCCATATCCTGAAATAGATTTTCATGCAGACAAGGAGCAGTAACAGAGAGCCTGTTCAACAGGGAGTCTGTTGAACACAAATGGGATCTCATTGCCTTGCTATCCTTTGCATGACTGAGGGTATTGGATTTCGTTGTTATACTTTAGTGATATTTTATATAGAAATTGAACTAATAATGAATTTCTTTTTCCTTTTTTTAACCTCATGCTCTCTCCAACGTGTGACATCTTGGCTCGGCAGCCCAGTCATCCCATAGTGCCTATTCCAGAAAACGAAACACTCAGCTCTAAGGAGGTAACCAGTTGACATTTAATGGGTTTAAGCATTTGCATGCTAGCTTTATCTTTTATTTATGCAGCTTGTAGAGTTGATGAGGAAAAATGTGCTGAGCTCCCAAGTCTGCTTTTGTCCAGTGCATGGACTAGATAAGCATTCAGTATTCTTAGTGATTAATGAAGAAAAAAACCAAGAGTTGTTCTGCAGACTGTGTTGCTTATGTGAATTTGGAGTAACACTAACATTTACACTTCAGGTTCCTGATCTGTGCTGTCAGAATGTTAGCAAACAGGATTTGTTAAATTATGCAGTTAGCCCCATTTAAATCATACATTCCACAATTTGCAGTCACTAGTATAGCTTCTGTTTTAAATACCAGATACAGCAACTACCAGAAGCATTTAGGATAATTAGTTATTGAGAATTTCATAATGGACTGTCAAGAAAACATAAAACAACACATAGTGCAAGTTTGCCCAGTATCAAAATTCAGTGCCAGCTTTATTTGACTTTGAAGAAGGACACCAGTCTTCTTGAAGCCTAAATTCATTGGCCAATTCCCTACTACTTTTATATATCTAAACTCTAGGACTATAGTTGTTACCACCCTAGATAATTCATTCAGCGAGAGCTGAAGCAATCTACTACACATCATCAATTTTCTCTTGAGACAGAGCATATAAAAGTCAAAAAGGTTCTGCTGGCCCAGGCAAGTCTTTTTTTCCAACAAGGTCATGAACATGAAACTGAATTATAGCCTTAATGTTGAAATAAACATATGTAACGTATGTAATTTATTTAACTATCATATTCTTTACTATAGGCTTTGGAATGTAATAGAAACATCTTTAATTAAAGAACATTTTCAGTATTATTTTAGAAATTCACATAAGAAGGCATAACAACCAATAATAGAAGTATGAGTACATTTATGACACAAGAATGAATTTTTTACTACCGAGATCTCTTTTGGTTACAAAGTGCGTGCTCATAATTAATTCACAGGTTTTTTGGTGGGTTTACCAATATAGATAGGCATAATAGCTCCATTTTTGTAACCCAGTTTACTTTTAATTTATTATTTTAATATAAGATTCTAGTCTTGCTAAAAGCAGTGAAATGAGCAATTAAAAAAATGAAGTGGATTTTTGACAATGATTGCTACCAAATTAGTAACTTCTTGTTTTGAAAAATATTGAGAGAGTTTTGAGGTCAAGCCCGTGACATATTAGAAGCACAGGATTTGCTTGAATTCTGAGCTTGTTGACAGCCTGTCAATATATCCTCACAGTTTATCTCAGTTTCCACTGGAAAAAAAAAGGTTAAAAGAAAGTAAAAGAAAGGAAAAAAAAGGTAGACATCTCACTTGTTGGGCGGATCAATGGACTGCTGTTCTGCACCAGAAGTATATAAGACATGGATGTAGTCTCTTATTCTCATGTGCATCCCTGGCCTTTCTGTGCAAGGGGTCAGGGACTTACAGCTACTTCATATCTCTTTTTGTTTGAATTGTCATCACAGCTTTCCAGCCTCCTCCCTTTTACCTTGTCTTTGACCTTTCTCTTGTTTCTACACCAACATTTCCCTTTCCTCTGCCTCCCAGGAGCCACTTCTTGGTTCTTTTGAAAGCAGTTGTTACAGCTTCTGCTGTGGATCTGTCCAAAGGAAGCCCCAAGATGCCTTCAAAATTTAGACAACAAATACCTTGCTGAGCTTCTCAGATAGGTTGTTTATTTCCATCTCATCTGTAAAGTTTCTGAAATGTTATTGAAGTAAAGGTATTTCATTAGAGGGTGGTGAAAGGGACTGAATAGTTCTAAGGATAAATTTGTTGTGGAGGTGAACATGATTTGCACTACATCAGGCACTCTAAAGTGTGTACATATATATATACACACACATATATGCACGTATGTGTATTTCTATAAGTGTGTATATATTTATATGTATTCATGTGCATGTATAGATATGCAGCCTCCGATGCTGCAGCTGATTTTCCTGTATTTGAAAATGACAGAGGAAAGCAAACAGCTAGGTCCCATTTCTCATTCTTCTTCTTTACAATTTGCACATTGAAGGAGAGCTTTGCGGATCTGATGGAAAGAGAGATCTTTTCAAAGAGAACTCTTTTAATAAAGAAGATACATAATTTAACTGATGTGTTATTAAGATCAGTTCAGAAAGTGAAGCATCCCGTCACACTCTCAATTAAAGTCAGGCTACCATGACTGAGATATGCTTGAAAACATGAGGTTGTAACGTGTTCTGAACTGACAATGACAACAGAAGTGCAAAATTCCTTTGGTTAGAGGCCAACTTGGTTTGTTCCAAGGCAGATAAAATATATAGAACTGTCTTGTAAAAGTTACCTTGTATTTTAAACAAACGCTTCGAACAGAATTTCTATCAATCAATTTATTAAAAAGTTTAAACGTATTCCAACAGTTGGAACATTTGCACCATGACCTGTAGAACAAAGATCTCTGATGAAATTATGGTTGCATTTATAAAGACAATTGGAAAGAAGAGGATTTATCCGGGCTGTTATCACTACTCTGTATTTCCCTTGATTAACATCTCATTTGGTAGTGGTCATTCACCACTTACAATAATGTTAGCTGGAGGAAAATGGTTTAAAGTTTAAAAAAAGTGTCAGATACCTTTTGGTACAGCTGAAAAAGCTGAGTATTCGTGCTGGTTCCCTGGGGCCTGTCGCTAATGTGGATTTTGTAACTGACTATGACTATACAGGTGGACTCCAGTCCACCTGTGGATACAGCAGGAAGAATTGTGTCAGGCTTACCACAAGGTGGTCAGGAAAAAAAAAGTCAAGAGATTACACATCTTCTGTTTTCTCTGTTACAAAAAGTCTTCTCCAATGAACTTTTCAAAGTACTTTTACAGGGCACTTTATTATTTTTCCCCAATTTTTAATCTTATTTTTAGCAGGAGATGACCAGAGGACATCATGCTGGCCATGTTGAGACTGAGCAATGTCTTTCCACGTTTAGGGGGTGGCAGAGAAGACACAAATACATCTAGAGATGACCCACTTTGCTCATTCTCAGTCAAGAAGGACTGAACAAAGGCATTCATTTGCCTTGAGATGTGTTGCTGGAGATGGAAGTACATAGCACTGATACCCAGAAGGAGGTTGATGTTTGTGCTATGTGGAGACAGACAGGAGAGCAACATAGAGCCAGGAGCAGCTCAAAACATTTGAGGCACTTTTCTTAGCTGCCCTGAGAGTGGTGGCTTCCTTAAGATGTGTTGTTTTTGAGCTGTCTCCAAAGAACCACCAGATTTTCATCATTTTCTCTTTTATGTGGTTGGTTCTTCCAAAGTGTGTGTTATGCTGCTTTCCCTTTCAGTGCAGTGAAAAAACCAAGGTGGGCCTTGGTTGATGATTTTTGACATCACAACATCTTTCAGGCACCTGTATTGTTTCTTCTTGTTTAGGAACCTGTCTTGACTCTAGGAACCTATCTTGACTCTAGGAACTGTTTATACTGAATTTACACTTTATGAGTTTACATAACCCACAAGTCTCCAACTAATTTAAAATGTCCTTTTTATCAGTGAAGTCCTGTTTGGATGCTGAATTGATTAGGAAAAATTCTGTCAAGTTATAAGCCAAACATTACTCTTACTGCTGTAATAAAAACCTTAGATGTCTGTCCTATAGTCTCTGTCCTCACCAAAATGCTCTTCTTTATCTAAAATTATGTATAGGCTCATAATTCTTCTGCTGCCATGTTCTTCCCTCAGAGCTGAGAACACAGTGAGAGAAAGTTAGTGTGATTTATGCGATTCCAGGGCAGATGGTCTGTGAAACATAAGCAGCTCCTTGACCTTTAGGAAGGAATGAGAGAGAGGAAGAAGGGAAGGTGCTGCAAGTTTCTACTTAGTAATTCATATTGTTTTCCTCAAAGGGATGTATTCAATAGGGAAAAAAAAAAAAAAAAAAGAATTACCTTTGTATTCAGAAGAGCAACATTCTCTTCTTCATGCAACTTTAGCTTCATTCTGTAACAGCATGAAGCAAATCGATCTGTCAGTTGCCTGTGAAAGTAGGAAAACAAATAAGGGACCTTCTCCCCCTTGTGAAAACCTTCTCTACAACCAGTGCTTTTTAGTTGGAGGAGATCTGAAGGATACTCCTTTAAAACCTAACCAAGAGATATACCAGTAATTTCCTATACCTACTGTCTTCCTTTCAAGCAAACCTAGTGTTTGCCCAGGTTATGACATGTGAATGATGTTGTAATCATTCTCAGAATTGTACTGAGTCAGAATCTTTAGAGAGAACATGGGGCATATGTACCTGTGTAGCCACAAAAAGACATTGCATGCAGGTGCTAAAAGTGTGTACTCACTACCCTTATTCATATGTGACTTACAAAATCCCAAGTCTGTTATACAATTAGTTTAGGTTCATATAATCTTTTGCTGCAGCTGTTACTCTGTCTTACCTGTTTGTTATTCCTGAAATACCTGCAACAATTATTTGAGATAATAATAGCAACTGTAAGTTCAACGATCATAAAAAGACCCTATGAGAAAAAGCTTATTCCATTGATTTCAGCAGTGACAGGATTTCACCGACTGTCTTTTGTGCAAATTTGTGAGAGTTTTAGAACAAGAAGCTCCTTTTTTTTTTTTTTTTTTTTTTACAAAGGGAAACAAGTATTCTGCCCTGCTCCACTTTAAGCAACTTTAATAGCAAAAGATCTTGAAAGTTGAAATTCTGTGAAAATGTCAATAAGGTCCAAAGTTCTGTTATACATTGCTCTTAATCTTTATTTACTTAAGGAATGTTCCTGGTCAGAGGTCAACATTAGTATTAATCATTGATAGATTCTACATAAAAAAAGAAAATGCACCCATTTTGTGAAAGATTCATTGTACTAAATTTATGTAAGGGGTTTTACGTCAGCACAAAGTTCCAACTGAAGCGGCATTATCAGAACAGAGTTATGTTCTTCCAGTTAAAAACCCTGCCATTGTACTATTGTACTCTGTATTTACAAAGAAAATCCCAGAGCTTACAAAATTCCCCCTCGAAGTAGCTTGACATCATCATCACAATGAAGCCAGGATGGATGAGTGTGGGCTGTGTCCATAATGGTGGCTTGCCCTTCCCTGTCTCTGGTGGGAAGGTATGAGGGCAGGGTACAGTCTGCCTTCTCCTCCAGGTTATCCTGACAGCCTGGGGGAGACTGCTGGTGGTAGTTAGGTATTCTGTAGTCATAGAATCATGGAATCATAGAACAGTTTCGGCTGGAAGAGACCTTCAAGATCATCGAGTCCAACCTTTGTCCTAGCTCTACCAACACCACTAAACCATGTCCCTAAGTACAACATCTACCTGTCTCTTAAACACCTCCAGGGATGGTGACTCCACCACCTCCCTGGGAAGGCTGTTCCAATGCCTGACAACCCTTTCAGTAAAGAAATTCTTCCTAATATCCAGCCTGAACCTCCCCTGATGCAGCTTAAGGCCATTTCCCCTTGTTCTATCCCTTGTTACTAGGGAGAACAGACCGACCCCTGCCTCGCTACAACCTCCTTTCAGGTAGGTGTAGAGAGCAATAAGGTCTCCCCTCAGCCTTCTCTTCTCCAGGCTAAACAGCCCCAGATCCCTCAGCTGCTCCTCATACGAGACATGCTCCAAATCCTTTACTAGCTTGGCAGCCCGCCTCTGTACCCTCTCCAGCATGTCAGTGTCCTTCTTGTAGAGAGGGGCCCAAAATTGGACGCAGTAATGATCCAGCTCTCACATACCATTCAATGCCTTTTCAATTTGTAAAGAAGATGCCTGTCAAATCAAGAATAGGGGTATGGTAGATACCTAATGAAACTAGAGGGAACTGTATTGGAAGCTGCTCCTACTCAAATATGAACTCCTTTGTTCAAGCACCTTCTTCCTTGTGGTGCTGGGACAGGTCCTTTCCTGCATGCAGACATGTTGGGGCAAAAGACTGTGTTGCTCCTTGTACTTTCCTTGGAGACATAAACATGGTCTCTCCACCTGTCACATTGTGGATGCACAGTTTGGTTTTTACTTTCAGTGTTGCATAAAATTACAGCCCCATCCTCCAGACAGTGATGAGCTGGTATACGCTAGTATGGCAGAGCATCGCTGCCAGCTCTGTAGCTAGCCAGGCCACAGAGCATGTGTGTGTTACACTGTGACATAGTCAGCATCTCTTCTGTCCCACACCTGGGAATGAATTATCTAATGAACTAGGGGGCATTAGGCAATTCATAAAGAACGCTGCACAGACTGAGACTAAGCATAGATATTAAGGCAGCAAATATTAAGGCAAAGAGCAACAGCAATACACATAAAAAAATCTATTGGATGATGCAAAAAAGAAAATCCTTTGATGTGACTTACCTCCAAAATGAGAACTGTTCTGACTTGACCTGTGATCTTCCAAAATATTTTGGAAAAAAATGAACAGTCCCTCTCTGAAGTGCTAGTCTCACCACCCTCAGTTTATTTTGATGAAGCCAAGGACTGCAGCTCCAGACTCTCTCCTTATCATCATAACAGTTCATTTAACTGAAAATTTAATGACTCCGCAAATGAACATTGAAAGTAGGAACAAATCCTGTTTTTACTAAAGGAATAAGAATTTCAGGAGTTAGCTGAGACAAGTTCTTTAACCTACTGAATGGATGGGCCACTAAAAGGGAACAATAAACTGCAGTCTTTTGATATTTATAAATAGAAAAGTAGGTCCAAACAACGCACATTTGCAAATTCTCAAATAAAACCTTTAAATAGTAGACATACTTTCTATTTACTTTATACTTTAACAATGCTTTAAACTATAAAATTTTTAATACTTCTTATATACAACAGGAAATTTATACTTGCAACAGGTATTTGGGCAATACTTTTGTCCAGCGTCAATGATTATCTCCTTTTTTTAAGTAAAAAGATTCAGTTATAGCCTGCTGACATGAAAGGACGTATAAGATCTCCATCCATTAGCAAGAAAAATGCATTTTATGCATTTATAGGATTTTATTTCTAATGTGATCATTATAAAAAGAATTACTGTAAATGTATTACTTATATGGTAAATTTACATTTAAAAATCTGAAAGAGTTATAATATAAATGTAATACAAAGAAAGTACAAAATGTCAGTATGTCATTTAAACTGCCATTTTAAGCTAATTCTATTTGGCTTCAAGAAACAGCTGTTGTATTTGTTCCCCTTTAAATAATGGCAGGAGTACTGTGTAATAGTTTTAGAGGAAAAGACCTGGCCCTGAACAGGTAGTCAGATCACAGTTGTATTTTGAAGAAGGCTTTTTTATTATTCAATACTTAAGTAATGCATAAGTAATTAGAACCACAGGATCAGAAAAAAATTAGTTACAGTGTTTGAGTACTCTCATGATAAAAAATATTTTTCCTTATGGCTAGTTAAAATTACCCCCACTTCTTGCCTCCTTTCCTTTCACCATGTCAATCTCAGCTTCTGTAAACCCCACTTAAATAGCTGGAAATGGAGAACAGATACTGCTTAGCCTGTTCTTCAGATTAAACAAGCTCTGTATCCTCCCCATATACGTCATATGCTTTTCCCAGAAATCAAGGAACACTCAACAACCACCCTGACTGCCTTCCATTGGGTTCCTCCTGTTTGTTTTACAACTCTTTTCTATTGGGAGGGCTCAAAAATTGAAACTATGTTCCAGATGCAGCCTCACTAGTGCCCAGCAGAGGGGAATAATAATTTTCCCCAATCTGCTGGCTATGTTCTAATTAATGTAACTCTGTATGAGGCTATCCTTCATCACGAGGGTGGACTCACCCATGTGGAGTTAATGTCAACCAGACCTCAGGTCTTTCTTTGCAGAGCTGCTGCCCAGCCAGTCAGTCACCAGCCTGTACCGTTGCATGGGGTTGTTCACTTCCTCCACCTCCCTTGTCCCCTGTCAGATGCAGGACTTTGTATTTGCCTTTGTTCAGCTCCTGATGAACATAAGTTCCTGCTAGCCCATTTCTCCAGTCTGGCAAAGTCCATCAGAATGGGAGCTGTACCCTCAGCGTATCAGTTTCTCCCTCCTCTCCAAGTTAGTAACAGCCACAGACTTCTTGGACATGTAATCTTTCCTACCACCCAGGTCCCCAGTGCAGACGTCACCCTAGCATCCTCTGAAATGCCACCTGGAACAGAGACTTTGAACTGTTGACTACTATCCTTTTAGAACAGAGGTCCAGCCAGTTATTCATGCACTCTGTAGTCCACCCTGCTCCTTGGTTTGGGTACCAGGTTACTGTAGTGTGTTGAAAGCCTTGTTAAGGTGGAGGAAAACAACATCTATGCCATGAGAATGCAAGGTTGGTCACCTGTTCTGTCCTGTCTGGATGTGGTCTAAAAAAGAAGTGGAAATCCGATCTGAGTCTGAAATGACCTCTAATGCGCATCTAGCCAAGGTGATGCTTGTCTGCTCAAATTTGCTTGGTGCAGTGTACTTCCTCAAACATGTCAATACGTGAAAAATTCATACCCAGTTCAGTAAACATAGTTATAAATTAGCTGTGCAGGAGACCAAAGTATTTAACAGACACGGCACTATATGAAGTTGTCTACCGGTTTGCAGAACTGTGCCTGCTTAACATACTGCAGTTTTTATTCTTCTCTCCACTTTGTTTCCACTTTTTATTTCACTTTTTTTTACAGGTTGCCAATGAAAGAGGTTCTGTTTAGCTGTGATAGTGAGTATTACTGTTTTACTGACTTGATTACAGTCATGCTTTGAATATGTAACTGCTTCTTTAGTGTCATTTTAACGGATTTTTATGGTTTTGTTTTAAAAGAAGATAGGATGCTTTAGCTATATATTTTAGTGTTTAGATAAGAAGCTGGCTATGTATGGTGAATGATTTTCTATTAATAATTACCAGTGCAGAATAATCCCACTTCTTAGCATCACAGAATAAAGTTATAATTGAATTAATTTTAAGTGGGATGCAATCAAACAATTGGAAGAAATTGAGGTATGGTCTGGAACTGTATTGTGAAGTAATGTCATTGAAAAATGATTAAAATTATTTTATATTTGAGTGCATAACCACATAGTGCCATTAAAATGAGTGGTTTGCTAGAGTTAAACAATACTATATTGCAAATAGTGCACTATGCTTGAGAGCAGATATAATGTAGTACTTAACAACAGAGGTCAGCAAATAGGTGATATAGAAAGGACTGAAATGTTCAATGACTTTTTTGTTTTGGTCTTCACAAAAAAAGGTTAGTTATGACTAAAAGTTTATTTCAGTTACTATTAAGAATTTGGGAGTGGAATCATGGAAGGAAAAGGAAAAGAACATCTGAAGGAATACTGAGGTAAATTGGAGTATTCAGAATGGCACAGCCTAATGAAACTTACCCTTAAAAAATACTTAACCAAAACAATTTCTCAAACACCAGTGATTAGCAAGTTAAGTAAGTTCCCAGAAAACTGGAGAAAGGCAAACACAATGTCATACCTAACAAAGGAGGAAAGCAAAATCTAAAGAATTACAGAAAATTCAGCCCTAATAACATTTCCAAGACACTGGAACAAAGTATTAAACAACCCATTTGTAGGCATCTAGAGAATAATAAGGAGATAAGAGGAATTGCACAGGGACATGTCTGAAACAAATGCTATCAAGTTGATCTCATTTCCTTCTTTGACAGCAAAAGTGATATAGGGAACGTGTTTGATACAGCATATCTTTGACACAGTGCCTCATGACACCCGAAAGCAAGCAAAGCAGATACTGACTAAATTAAATTCACATAAGGTAGATGTGTGACTGATTGGAAAGATGGATTCTGAGAACAATCATTTGCTGCCAAAGTGGGAGAACATCTCACACCACTTCCACAATGCTATCTTCTAGCTCTAACACTATAAAACATTAATTACTTGCTCAATCGCATCAGTAAGTTTACCGAATTTACAGATAATGCCCATTTGGGAGGACTTGCAAGCAGCTTGGAAGGCAGGATTAGAATCCAAAAAAATATCACTTACATTAGAGGAATGGCTTGAAATCAGTATGATAAAATTTGTTGAAGACAAATACAAAGAAATATGAAAAGCACAGACAGAACAGGAAAGATAATAATACTGCAGGAGAGAATTGGAGGATTACAAGGGACCACAAACTGAATCTGAGTTGCAGAGGAGATGCTCTTACGAAAAATGCCATTCCAGGCTGTTGAAGGGTATGTTTATAATACGATGGAGGTAATTACTCATCTCTGTTCAGTATTAATGAAGAATCAGTTGCATGGGATGTGGGAAACAAACATGAGATTTAGAAAAGATGTAAATATTTCAGTGTCTTCACACAGAAGAAAAGAAATAAGGACAGGGTAGAGGCACAGAGTTTACATCTCTTTATAATGGACTGTTATAAAAGGGATATGTTCTATGGATATTAGTAACTTCTCCACCCTTTCTGAGAGTAGGAGAAAAACAAATAGGCCTAAATTTCAGGAAGAGAGATTTAGTTTAGAATTTGGACAGTTGCAGCTATGTAGAAATTTAAGTTCTAAAGCAGTTTAACTCAGACTGCTGCAAAGACAGGCAAGCATCTCACAGGGTAGGTTTCGTCCAGCAGCTGTCATCTTCTCCCACAGCTATAGCACAAACGAGGTGGCTGAATATATCTTCACGGCTTTTTTTTCTGTGAAACTGAGTTGCATTTTTTAGCCAGACCATCAGATTGTATAAATTAGGAAAACTGAGTGACTTCAGTGCATGTTATACAGTTTACTAATCTGTATTTTTGACAACCTGTGCTCATGCGAAAACTCTTCTTTTGCAGCCTTGAATTAGGATGAAGAGCTAAAACTGTAGAGTGTTTTGAAGCCTTTTTCTACACTGAGAAGGAATCCATGGCACAAATGTTATTTAAAGCACCATTTTAAAAAAAATTGCTTCCAGTACGCTAATTGCAAAGCAGTAATAACAATCAAATATTCTTTCAAGATATAATCTTATGTACTAGCCTAATTAACCCCAGAGATACACACACAAATGTGCCATTTTGAAATAATGTTTCTTGAAGTGCTTGCTGGTTTAAGAGATTCCCAATATAACACAGCATATTTTCTTTAGAAATAATACAAATGTTGAAATTAAATAAAGCTGTATTTTTGTTGCAAAGTGTTTGTCATGATTCTTATTTTTACTCCTGTAGATCTAGCTCCACATATTTCAAACAGCTGAGAATGAATGCCAGCATTGTTGGGAAAGGAATGCTCTCACGCTCAGCCTTGGTAACATTTTGCCACCATACAGACACTTATATTTTGTGAAATCCTCCAGGAATTATTCACATTTGTGAATAAGCGATCAGCAAGCACAGTGATTCTTCCCTGACAGGCAATATTCGTAACCCTTTTGGCCAGGCAGGGTCCACATCTGCTGGTGAGCAGAGGCAGAATTACCAGCTGCTCTCCTGGTGCACATGGAAGAATCATCTCTCTCCTCTCCAGTTTATGCTGCTGGTTTTTTGCCCCTATAGTGCTCCCACACAACATTGTCTGAGCCTGGATCTTAAACAATTTGCTTCCAAACTGCATTGTAGAAGGCTAATGAAGCTGAATGTCTATGCTTGCATGAGTTGACTGCCTTCTCCCTAGTCCCTTGATCCTTTGAGCCACCAGTCACCCCACAAGCAGGTATATGTTCAGGACCTTTGCATCACAGCCCTGTCTGGGTATGCAGAAGCATTTTGCCTTCTGACACACTGCTATGTGTTGTGGTTAAGATTAATATTTTAATGAGAATTGCTAATGCTTTATTAAAATTAATGCAATGAACTAATTTGTGAAATATTATAATCAGTCAAAACATTAAAATCAAAAATGGTTTAAATGGGATAGTCCTCAGCTTCTTGCACTGTTGGATCTGGTGCAATTTCAATCCAGTCTACATTTAAACTGTTGAACTCCAGAACTATAAAAATGGAAGAGAAGTTCAGCAATCAGTGAGTCTCTCTCTATAGGTAAAATACACATTTTTTGCTTGATATGGGAGCACACATGTCCTTCAGAACGTCATGAACAGATTTATAGACATATAAGGTTTGTTTTTGTATTAGTTTCTTTTCTCAATGGAAAAATAATAGAAATTAAGTGTGTACACCTTGTGGACAGCACATCCATTAACCATTTTCTTAACGATGTTAAGAAAAGCATTTCAGTGAGTTCAAGAGAGAGTTTCTGGGGACAGAAATCAGTGCTTATGGGTAAGTATAACAAAAAAGTATTGAAAAATTTAAAAAATAGTTATAAATTAATACACATAAACACATCTATAACTATAAACGTGTTATAAATACTGTACAAGATGTAATAGGTCTACCCACCAAGGACCTAGTAGTATTTCTTGTTTCCAACAGAGCATTGAAATGGGCATAATTAATATTTAGAACCAGTGTAATCTTTCTCAGAACACTTAACAAGCAT